AAAGAAATTTAGATAAAACTGGGTTTAAGACTTTGCTTCGATGAGAATGAGAGAGCAAAATATCAAGTTACTTTTTTTCCAAATGAAAGTTGTTTCACTTTCAAATACTGGCAGACTAAGCCAATATATCATTTGTTCACATTCCATTATTATCATTATCAATTTAAGTACCGTTGTTGTACAGATTCTCTATTGTTATCATTATTACTGTTATCAGAATCTCTATTGTCATAGTTGTCATTTCCATTAAAATCGTTAATACTGTAACTGCTGCGATAACTACTCCAGTATTACTGTTGATATATTGTTCCGTTTCTACCAGCAGTGTTATTATTCGTGTTACTATCTCCTTACTGCTGCTACTACACTATTTTGCTAGCGCTGTGAGCATATTATACATACTATATATATCAAGTTAGAGTTGAAAAACATCAAAATATCATCATCCTATATCTGTTCATTCACATTAAAAGATATTAGAAAGATGAGTTGATGACCTGCTGGTTGGAAAATATTAATACTACACAGTTCAGTAAAGTCTGGCACAAAATTCCAATCGAGAAAATAATATGATTTTATATAAGAAATGGTGTCTAGTAACTGAAATTGAACTTGACCTTTGGTTTATTATAATATTGTTTAACGCCCAAGAGGAATTCAATCCAACGGTACATTCAAGGGTTATTGTTCCGAATCCCACAATTTTTTGCGCCAGAGTCCGCGGAACGGACCACGGTAGCTCTTCGCCTCTTTTGCGGGTTCATGAAAAGCCAAAGATTACGGCAGTCGACATGGAACAACCTACCTGGTATCGTTAAGCACGGTCGTAATCGTCTCAAAGACCACGCTCTCGCTGATGGAGTCCTTGTCAATGGCCAAACCCAGCCCGTGGTCCACCACCCTCCTGGCGTTGTCTCCCTGGTCGGCGAAGACGGGGAGCGCCACGATGGGGACGCCGTGGTACACCGCCTCGTTCAGCCCGTTCTGGCCGCAGTGGGTGACGAACAGGCGCGTGTTGGGGTGAGCTGCGAGAGAGGCGATTGATTTACTTGTTCTGAAGTCAAATTGCAATTCTGTGTAAGCGAGTGATACATGTTATGTTGCAATTCTGAATGGCGATGGCAGTGAGGACACCCGCGGGACGAACCACTAGGCTTCTGACCTAATAAGTCGTGCTGAGGGAACCACTCCAGCACTTTGACGTTGTCGGGGATGACGCTGAGTCTCGCGGCGTTGAACCTCAGAAGAACCCGCTGAGGGAGGCGAGCGAAGGCGTTGACGAAGGCTTCCATGATGTGAGGGGGCACCGTGTTGGCCTCGTACCCCGTGTAGCCGAGGGAGAAGACGATCGCCCCCGCCTCGCCCGCGCCAGATACCTGCGAGGGAGGAAGGGAGGGGGGGGTTAGACCTTGTCACGTGATCCGTTGGACAGGTGTGCGGTGTGAGTCTTTATCTGAGATGGTTTATAGGCTGTTGCGTTTATCTACGGGATATTAGCATGATCAACATTAGCGGGATTAGAGATGATTATAATTATCTGCATTCAAGGACTTTCTTGTTGCAAATATAGTCCGGAGTTACTGTAAACAAAGTAGAAGTTCTAGTGTTCTTTCTATGTTTACATATCTAACATGTTCTATATTGCGTAAAGATATTATAATTATCATTACTTTTATTATTTACATTGCCTTTACATGAATCACAAACACCAGAACTATGCATTTTGTTTAAGGGTCATCTATAATTTTCATCATTATCACAAGTCTACAAAGCGTAGACTTTTGAGTAACCCCCCTCCCCCACCCCCCTAAAAGTGTACGTTAGCGAGCGAAAAATTATGATGGATGAAGCTCTCTCCCTACCTGTATGTAGATTCTTATTTTGTGATTCTAAGAAAATGTTATGAATTTAAAATAAAATCATGTCTTGTTATATTGCTTTTTCACTGTATTAAAATCAAGTCTGGTGACAATACAAAGAGCCTACGGATTTTTTTTTTTTTCTGCAGGCTGTATTTTTGTTCTTTTTTTTATGACTACAGATGGTTTGATGCAAATGAAAAGTGTTTAAAGCAATACTGAAATATTTTCCCAAGTTCAAATAAATCAAACATAAAGATTGCTGAAACAATGTGGCAGACCGAACGTTATTGCGGCGGAAATTTCCTCCGAGGTCACTTCAGCTGGGTTTTCCTGCAGGGCATCACCAAAGGCAGAGAAACAGTCTCATGAAGTGATTAAACCTTCAACCCTGCAACACACTGCCTATTAATAGCCATATAAGTTTTAGCTAAATCAAATTTACTGGTTCAATGTTGCATTTTCTTGTTATACAACTAATACATTTTCTATAAAGAGATGTGGGTGCATTTTATGCTGTTGGGTGGTTATATTATTGGCTTAATAATGCACTTATTGTATATTGTTTTATACAGCGCAATAAACAAGAAAGTAGAGCAGGGAATCCTATAATCATCAGACTGACCCTACGCACTGTAACTGAAATTTAATATTCATCCGTTTATGATAGTGTGTGGTTCAGTTTTAATATTTCTATCCATTTTCTTAATTATCCAATGGTTAGAAAACGTCAGAAACGCTCGTTGATAATGACAAAAATTAAGGGTGACCCTTATAAGTTTAATTTACCCCATACGAACTAGAAATCGCAAATCCCTCATTGCTTTCGGATGTTTTTTTGTAGGCAGCGTTGTATGAAGCTAAATTACGCTGAGTCATGTGACACCATAACTCCAACCCGCTAAGTCATGGCCGATGCCGTTATTATGGTGTTACATGCTCGCCCACTTACGATTATTATTTTTTCTCTCTCTCTCTAAACACATAAACGCAACCTCAAATTCAAACACATACATACGTATACGTGCGTGAGTACACAGAGAGACACGCAAAGGCACAACCACACGCACACGCACACACACACACACACACACACACACACACACACACCACACACACACACACACACACACACACACACACACACACACACACACACACACACACACAGCCGCCAGTGCATTTCTCCGTGCACGAAGACCCTACCCACTCCTCGAGGTCTGGCGGCAGCGGCGACGGGGGGCCACACTGGATGCAGCCGATGTACTGCACGTGGGGCGGCATGAGCTTCGGGTAGTCGATGAACCAGTGCGAGTGAACCAGGACCACCTCCATCTCACGCAGAAGCTCGCGACTGGTGGGGCTGGAGGGAAGCAGGCGCTGGGAGGAGAAACCAAGGAATGTTGATGATGAAAGGAGATACTTAAAACTGGATTGGTGAAAGAGAAAATAAAGGAGGGGAGAGGGAAAGAGACTGGGAGAGACTGAGAAGCAAGAGACACGGCCCTCGGGATAGGTATTTAAACTCTATTGCCCAGTCCAAGTTTTTCATCCTTTCACATTCAGTTGTTATAACAGTTATCAATGTTGTAATGGCGCCAACAGCTATAGTACAAGAACACTGGACGGAAAGACCATAGTTTATTGATACATGAAAAAGTTAGATAGTTATATCCGATATCATAATTTTCGAATTGGTTTAAGGCCCTATAAAAAAGTAGCTTGGGACTTACAAGAGAGAGAGAGAGACAGAGACAGAGAGAGAGGTGAGGGTGGGGAGACCTAGGCAAGAGGGAGATGAAGGGAGAGGAGGGAGGGAGAGAGTGTGTAAGAGAGAGGAGTGAGGGGAGGGAGACGTAGGCAAGAGGGAGATGAGGGTGAGGGAGGGAGGAAGAGAGAGACAGAGAGAGAGAGCGAGCGAAAGAGAGAGAGGAGTGAAGATGGGGAGACTAGGCGAGAAGGAGGGAGGGAGAGAGAGGGGGTGACGGGAGGGAGACGTAGGCGAGAGGGAGATGGAGGGAGAGGGAGGGAGATGAGGGAAGGAGGGTGGAGATGGGGAGAAGGAGGGAGGAGGGGAGGGAGAGAGAGAGAGAGAATGAGGAAGAGCGAGTGAAAGAGAGAGAGAGAGAGAATGAGAGAGCGAGTGAAAGAGAGAGAGAGAGAATGAGAGAGCGAGTGAAAGAGAGAGGAGAGAGAGAATGAGAGAGCGAATGAAAGAGAAAGAGGGAGGGAGAGAGAGAGAGACGAATAGACAGACAGAAAAAAACAAACAGACAATCAGACAGAGAGAAGACAGAAATGCCGACGGAGAGACAAAGAAAGAAAGAGAGAGCCAGGGGAGCAGAGGGGAGAACCGAGGAACCTCCTCCAACATATTTCCCTCCCAAGCAAGTCCTCCCCCGTTACCTTAATGTGTCCATCGGTGACGGTGAAGTGGTAAGTGATGATGGCGGTCTCTGCAAGCATCACCAGCGTATTCCACACTCGTTCGGTGAAGGTCATCGTCGCTCCAACTTCACTCAAGAAGTTCGGGACCAAAGCGGGTGATTGGAACACACCGGCGGCTCGGGACTGTTGGTGAAGTTGAAGCAGTGAAGTTTAAAAGAGGAAATGGTATTTCTTCAGCTTTCTAAGTCTGGTGGCACTTGTATAGGAGAAAGTTTACGCTGTATCATCATCGCTAACTGTAGAGTAGATATGACATGACGGTAGAATCACCTGTCATGGCGTGACCGAGACTGACTCTGTCACGTCGGCGAGCTTTTCGTGCTGACAGGATATCAAGTTCATTCGCAAGCGAGAATGGAAAGGGAAAAAATATCCGTAAATCTAAATCGTTTTTTTCTTCTTTTTTTATATCGCTTTGTTAAAAAAAAATCCAAACAATAATTGGGGATGGATCTTTTTCCCATAGACTGGTAGGAAAATTTAAAAGGGAATCTAATAATCAAACAGACCCTACCGGAAGTTAGCACAGACGCCGCTTCGGACAACAGAATCGGGTTGATTCCATTACACAAATACAAGCTTACGATACGGTTCAAGGCGCGACTCACTGATCAAATTCCTTCTTTCTTCAACTATTTTTTTCCATGTATAAAAATATAACTTGAGTAAAGAATAAATTTACGTTTGGTTTCGTCTTTAGAACAATGGCACAAACATTATGCAAATGAGAATATAATTCTTACTATGTTCAAAACAACACGCGTCACATTTTTTTTCTTTTATTCATAAATCCAACTTTCACATTTACAATCTTCTATTGTGCTGACTTTTCTTTCCATTGATAACTCAAAATGACGTTTTCTTTATCCTTTCTTGTCATCGCTCATAAGGAATATTTGTTTTTAAGCTTAACCGTTGCTTCCTGCCAGATGTTCTACAGAAGGAGGCGCGCGCTGTACAGGGAATACTCCTCGGTCAGTGACTCTGTGAATCTTTGGTGACGAAAATTTGGACTTTTTTTAAATATAACGTACTGTGCTGTTTATATGAGGATTGAATATGGTTTATATTGGATTTAAAGGTTGATATTGATAATATTCAATATCGCTTACTGCTACTAACAGGTCACTTTAACGTAGAATGCAGAGTTATCAGTTTGTTAGTAAATCCGACCGGGAGATTTCTAACTCGAAAGCTATGGCTCCTTTCTAGATCCAACAGACATTTGAGTAAGGAAGGGTGAAGCTATACTACTCACCTCTGTGCGTGAGTAACCTTTGGTTGCCAAGCGCCCTGTTCTTCATTTTTTTTCTTTCTTCTCTATATATATATATATATATATATATATATATATATATATATATATATATATATATATATATATATACATATATATATACATATATATATATATATATATATATATATATATATATATATATATAATATATATATATATATATATACACACACATGTATGTATGTGTACATGTATATCCTACATCATTGCGCGCTTATATCGAGGGGCGTGTCCTCTCGACCTGCATCCTTGGCATCCCTGCCAGATAGGTCTGCGCTTTCTCCCTCGACCCGCGCGCCCCCGACCCCGCCTCCCGACCCCGCCTCCCGACCCCGCCCTCGAAAAAAACGAAAGAAAACAAGGCCCAGCGGAGGAGGCGGGCACGACAGCCACCTCCCCCGCGCTGCTCACCTCGGCGCCCTGGAAGGAGAAGCCCCAGAAGCCGACGACGGGCAGGTTGAGGTCGAAGGCGAGGGCGAGAGAGCACTCGTTGGCGATGATGTCGACGAGGGCGAGCGAGAAGTTGGCGCTGCGGAGGCGGCTCTTGAGGCCCTCGTCGCCCAGGATCGCCTCGCAGTGGGCGTCCATCAGGCCGAACACGTCCGTCGGGAGCTGCGCAGGGGGGGGGATTTATATTATAAATATATATAATATATATATAATATATATATATATATATATATATATATATATATATATATATATATACATATCATATATATATCTTAAATTTTATGGAACGCTAGAAAGGGTTGGTAAAGAATTGATGAAATTTGTATGAAGGGGTTGAGGGGATTTATTATTATTATTATTATTATTATTATTATTATTATTGCGTGTGTGTGTGTGTGTGTGTGTGTGTGTGTGTGTGTGTGTGTGTGTGTGTGTGTGTGTGTGTGAGTGAGTGTGTTGTGTGTGTTGATGTGTATACATATATTTATATGTACATATATATTTTTTGTTTTGTTTTGTTTCTTTTGAATGTTTTGATGAATGGGATGGATAGATATATATCTGATGAACTGATGGACGTGGGATGTATGAAAACGTTTTCAATTACAGATATATAATACTGCTCAATTTAACATAAGAAAGCAACAAAACCCACCATAATTAACACACAGAAAAAACATATTGGTAACGATTTAAATCCATTTCACTAAATACATGTCCAGCGGCAAGGTGCTGGTCTAGCAATCTTGCGGACCTGCGTTCCATCCCACGCCCGGCCAGCGAGTGGTAACCCCGGCCACTCCTTGCACACAGGGGGAGATTTGGGCAAAATAAAACAGACAATAAAAGAGACAAGTATGTCCCAGCGAAGAATATCCATTGTAACAAATGGAATTAAAACTAAATCTTTAAAAATCTTAAATGACCAGACAGTGCTTAGAGACACAATTGAAGGCGCTTACGAGAAATTTCAACGCATCTAAACAAATGATCTAATTTTTTGCGGCGTTCAGCTAAGTGTGGCAGCATATGTCTGCCTGCTCACATAGGTGCTAGAATTACATCTTTCGCAATGGCATATCTGTTTAGTTGTTCATCTATCTATCTATCTATCTAACTGATTATGTGTGCGTGAGTGTGTATGTTTATATACATATAAATGCATATACATAAATAGATATGTTTATATATACATATATATCTATATATACATATATGTATGTATGCACATGTATATGCATATATATATATATATATATATATATATATATATATATATATATATATATATATATATATATGTGTGTGTGTGTGTGTGTGTGTGTGTGTGTGTGTGTGTGTGTGTGTGTGTGTGTGTGTGTGTGTATATATATATATATATATATATAACAACACACACACATATATATATATATGTATATATATATATATATATATATATATATATATATATATATATATATATATATACCTATATATATGTGTGTGTGTGTGTGTATACGTGTGTGTGTATGCGTGTTTATATTTAACAACCCATCCATCTATTTAACTATGCGCTACTTCCCCATCGTTAGTCTACTGCAGCTGTCGCCCCGAGGTCACGGATTCACCCCCAACGCCACATATGTCGACCGACTGCATGGCAACACTCACTCTCACGGGGAATGCACTCCGGGGAATATTTGAGCAAAAAACAATTTACTAAAACTTCGAGACGTTGATTATCATTGCAATTCGGCCATTCGGTATCAATCTTCATCATGCATTGAGTCTTTCTCTCCATTAAGAGCGAAAGAGATACGTGAACACTTTATCGTGAGAGGTATTTACAACGCAAACCGTTTGGTTTTTGTTTTTTATTATTGTTTGTTGTGTTGTTGTTGTTGTTGTTTCTGTGTCAATACTTCGTGTAAATTTATTTTTCTTATTTTTATATATCTATTCTTTTTATATATCATTCTTTTCTCTTCTGTTCTTTGTCTATCGCATTTTTCTTTCCTTTCCTCTTAAGCCCTCTCCTTGTCTCTCCCCTTTACTCGTAAGTCTTCCTGCTCTCTTTCTCTCTCCTCTTTTCTCCCTTTCACTTTCCCTCCTCTACGCCCTCGCATTCTATCTCTCTCCCCTCACATTCTCTGTCATCCCTCACTCCTTCCTCTGTAATCCATTTTCTCTCTCTCTCTCTCTCTCTTATCTTCCTATCCGTCTCCCTCTTTTCCCCCTCCTCCTCCAGCCCTCCCCCTCTCAACCCTTTCCCGGCTCCTCACCCCTCAACCCCCTTCCCACCCCCCACCCACATCCCCTTCCCTCCCCCCCATCCCCTTCAACCCCCTTCCCCACCCCACCCCCTTCAACCCCCTTTCCCACCCCACCCCCCCCCTCCCTCCAACCCCCTTCCCACCCCACCCCCTCACCCCTTCCCACACCCCTCCCCCTTCCCCACTCCCTCAAACCCCCCCCCACCCCCTCAACCCTTTCCCGGCTCCTCTCCCCCTCAACCCCCTTCCCCTCCCCCCACCCCTCCAACCCTTCCCCCCCCCACCCCACCCTCAACCCCCTTCCCCCCCATCCCCATCCCCTCTAACCCCCTTCCCACCCCCCCCTCAACCCCCCTTCCCCCACCCCCACCCCACCCCCATCCCCCCCCACCCCACCCCCTCCAACCCCATTCCACCCCCACCCCCTTCAACCCCATCCCCCACCCCCTCCAACCCCCCCCCACCCCACCCTCACCCCTTCCCCCCCCTTCGACCCCACCCCACCCTCCCCCCCCTCCCAAGTTTCTCTACGGCTCCTGTAGACGGCGCTCCGTCACGGCTCGAGAGGCGTTGGCGGCGCCCTCACGCAGCCATCGAGTTCCGTTACTGCTTCTGCGTCATTGCCGTGTTCCGTGGGCGCGTGGGCGGAACCGAGTCTGGTTATTGGTGTGCCTTGCTGTTTTTTGTTTTGTTTTGTTTTGTTTTGCTTTCTTTCTCTTTCTTCTTTTATTTCTTTCTCTTTCTTCTCTCTCTCTCTTTCTCTTCCTTTCTCTCTCTCTCTCTTCTCTTCCTCTTCTCCTTCTCTCTCTCTCTCTCTCTCTCTCTCTTCTCTCTTTCTCTCTCTCTCTTCTCTCTCTCTCTCTCTCTCTCTCTCTCTCTCTCTCTCTCTCTCTCTCTCTCTCTCTCTCTCTCTACTTTCTCTCTTCTGTTTCTTTCCTTCTTTCCGCTTTTTTTATTTCTTTACTTAATTTCCCCGTTCTCTTTTTTCCCTTTTCTTTCCCATTTGCTTTTTTATCTTTCTCTTTGTCTACTACTTTCACTTTTATTTTTCCACTTCTTCAGTGATGATGAGAGTAATAATAGTAATAGCAATGATGATGGTTATAACAACAGCAATAACAATGACAAAGGTGACGATAATGATGATAACGATAAGGATAATGATAGTGATGAAAAAATAATAACGATAATATCTATAACAATAATGATGATAATAATAATGATAGTAATAATAATAATAATGATAATGATAACAATAATGATGACAATAATAATGATGACAGTAATAATGATGATAATAATAATAATAATAATAATAATAATAATAATAATAATAATAATAATAATAATAATAATAATGATAATAATAATGATAGTGATAATAATGATAGTGATAATGATAATAATAATAATAACAATGATAATAATAATAATGATAGAAACAATCATGATAATAACAATGATAACAGTAATAATGAGAAAAATAACAATCACCACCATTATAGTGATAATAATACTAACTATCATCACCATAATTATAAATCGACATCCCACATAGACCAAGTGTTCAATACAAGTTCCTGTTCCTATTCCACCACCGCCTTACCTGCCACATGTGCCTCGGCCTCTCCCACAGCATGCTAGTAGGTGGTTGGAAGGTGCCGTCCTGGTTCATGTAGGGGTACCTGAGGGAGGCGAATGGTCCATCAGGTTGCGAACTAGCGGTCTGGTTGGACTAGTAGTCGTAGTAATGGTAGTTAGGGATAGAACTGGTGGTCTTAAGTAGGGGTTTGTGTGTGGGTGTACTTGATGGTTTGGTTATTTCTTATAATGGTGATGGTAATGATGATAGGAAGGATAAAGAAATGGTACAGAAGTGGTGGTGATAAACTTATTAATGATTGTGATAATGATGATGATGATAATAATAATGATGATGATGATGATGATAATGATAATAATAATGATAATGATGATAATGATAATAATATGACACAATAAAGATAATAATGGTAATAAAGATAATGATAATTGTAATAACAACTTCAATAATAATGATCATAATGATCATTATGATGATAAGAATGATGATGGTAGTAATAGCGATAATCATAATAGCAATAAGATTAGTAATAAAACTATCATAATATGATAATGATAACAATAATGATAATATAATGATAATGTAATAATAATGGTAACAAAGATAATAGTAATAATAATGTGATGATAATGATAATGATAATAATAACAACAGTGATACTCATAATGATAATGATAACATGATGAACAGTAATAATAATAGTAACAATAATGATGATGATGAAAACAATAATGATAATGATAATAATGTTATTGTGCTAGTAATGATAATATTGATTATGATGATAATGACGACAATTATTATAAACATTATTGTTGCTACTGTTATCATTATTATTATTATCATTATTATTACTATTATCTTATCATTAACATTATCATTATTATTGTCATTATCATTATTATTGTTGTTATTTTGTTATTGTCATTGTTATCGTTATCATCATTATTATTATCACTATTATCTTTACTATATATTTGTTATTATTATCATTATCCTTATCATTATTATTATTGTTGCTGTTATCATTACTATTATTATGATAATTTTTGTTTTATGGTCATTATTATTATAATTGTCATCATTTTCATTACTTTTACTATCAATGTTATTATCAGTAATGTTATCATCACTGTAACCATTATAATTATTTTCTTTGTCGCTATTATTAGCATCATTTGTATTATCATCATTATTATCATTATCTGCTACATATGATTCCAACGACATATGATACCACTGAATTACATAGTACACAAGACACACGCAAAAATTCCTGTGTCATATGCAGAGAGAGTGTCTGACATACTGCACCAGAATTGTAGAATTGCGGGATTTTCATCAGCAGAGCCAGTGCCGTCTGTCAGCTTTGAGTTGATTTTAAGCAGTACAAACCGCAAAATATATTAATTGTTACAACTTTCGAGATTACTTGCGTTTGCCATAAGTAACGCTTATGCAAATTTGGAAGTCATTTTTTTTCTGTGGCTTCTTCTGTGGGTTTTTTTTTTCTCGGAAAGTTTCAAATATTAGAAAGCGTATACAGTACTGGCTGTTGTGTTCCATCATGCACATGACAGATGGTTTTTGTCCCAGGTATTACGCCTCGGAACCATGTGAATTGCTGCCTTGTTCTCGAGTGCTTGCTAATCCGCAAGAATGCTTGTTTTTTATCTTTTTTTTAGCTAGACTCTTCCTAGTGCTCGTCTCATGACATTTTGTTGCCTCGCAGTATCGTAAACAAAACCCACGGTTGACGTTCTCAATTACCTGTTTTCTCTCGCGTGTCATGCGCCAGTGCTCCACCGTGCCACGTACTTGTGCCTCGTGCATGTGACAAACACCGTGTACTAAGTTTCCCAAGCGTCCGCTCAACAGGTGTAGCGAGAGTGTCATTGACCGGCAAACCACCGTGCTGATGGCGCCGCGTAATCTTTTCTGTACTTTGCCTTTAGCCATATTACGCCCCGCCGTATGCCTATATCCGTTGGTAGATTTTTGTGTCTGCGTTTTTATAGCTGTGTTTTCATTCGTATTCGGGTGCTTTGTCATGGTTATGTTTATTGTTTATTTACTTATCGTCTCATTTACATATTCGGAAGTCATTCAGATTTTTCGTATTCATATGTTCATACCATTCTGATCATAAGAATTATTTTTGTTGTAACGGTTTTCCTTACATGTGTGTGTATGTGTGTGTGATACTACAAACTCACCTCTTCAGAAATATTAAACCGATTCCCATTCTCTAATTTACTAACGAATTACTTCCTCACCCTCATTAACCTCCTAATATCCCATCATTTATCACCTTACGACCTCCTCCTCCCTCACTGACCTCACAAATACCTCATACTCACCATCGTATGTGCTTTCTCGGTCACATTCCCCCTAAACACGTCTCTCCTCATTGCCTCGCGACCCCGCCCCCTCCCTCCGTCACTCATTTCCTCATAAACTAAGACTCACAGCCTCACATCAGGCACCGCCCATGAGCCCCGCCCTCTTCAAGTTCTTAGCATGGACGAACTCTTATTGAAAATGTGTTCACAGGAAGTCGGATTTGCGTTCATAAAAAAAAA